AAAAAAAAAAAAAAAAAAAAACCCTAATAGCCCTTTAGTCAATTTAAATCATTTGATTGGATTGTGTAGAAATTGATTTCTCTTAGATTTAGTCAGGCATTGTGTTGTAGATTCATATCTCATTTTATCTTACATGTTGATTCTGATGTCTTGGGCTGTAGTTACAGAACCGATTTATTCTCGTAAATTATCGACAATAGGAGCTTCGCCATTTACGAAGAGCGCGTATTTCTCTTCGAAAAAGCTGATTTCTACCCTCCCCAGATGCAGTGGCCCCACAGGCTCGAGCGGAGAGAAAGATAAAAGCTCGAATCAAGACAAGGCAAAGTCTACACTACACTACACTACACTACACACACCATCGATTGAAAAACAAAAACCTTTTTGTTGATCGACGGGTTTTATATTTCAGTCGTACTGGTTATGTTCTTTACTCGTCCTTCTGTTTTTGAGTGTTGATTTCACTGTTATATATGGCTATTTTGTTTTCAATCAATAATGTGAGTCGTTTATTATTCGTGTCGTTAGCACAGACACCTTTCGGATACACGAGGAAGGATGTTTTACTCATAGGGATTGGAGTTACGGTTGCTGGCATTGGTCTTAAAAGTGGATTGGAGGTATATACTAATATCCCGTGTTATCTTTTTTTTTTTTTTTTTCCAGATATGATGTTCTTCGATTTATATCTTAATACTAAATCAAATCAACCTGGGAATATGAGTAAATATGAAAATGTTTCGAACGGCTTTGATCGTTGATGTATCTTAACTTGACAAAAAACCCTCGTGCAGTATGTTGGAATCGATCCATTACAGGCTGGGAATGTGGTCCAGTTAGTGTTGGTCTTAGGTCTTACGGTTGGGTGGATTTCGACATATATATTCAGAGTCTCGAATAAAGAAATGACGTACGCTCAACAGTTACGGGACTATGAGGACAAAGTCATGCAGGTCGATTCGTGTTAAAACTTCGTTTACATTAGTCGCATTCTATCTATTTATTTATTTATTTTTTCTTTAGAGAGTATTGGGATGAAAAATTGATGTTTTGCTCGACTTTTGAACAGAAAAGGTTGGAGAGCTTAACAGAAGCTGAGATAGAAGCATTGTTTGAGCAGGTCGAGGAAGAGAAGAAAAGCTTAGCTCGTGGAGGTGGTGCCGAACAAGTAAAATAATTTTTATTTTTTTTAATTTGCATGGTAAATATACAAAAAAATCGATACACAAGTCTCGAGGGAGATGTGTAGAGGAGGAGCAGATATTTGTACATTATTATCCAACAATGTGAAGAATTTAGTCTTTGTATTCTGAGGTTGTTCTTTACAGTAGATTTAGATCAATATTCACTGAACAGTGAACTTTGAATGCTTTCAAGGTATAAAAAACTCGATAACTCCATTGCAGTCGCCGGAAGGTTGAAATTAGGCCTGTAAATGAGTCGATCCGAGCTCGGCTCGTTACATAAATTAGCCAGATATCGAGCTCAAGTTTGGCTCGTTTATCAATATTAACGAGCCGAGTTTGAACTTTAACAAGCTGGGTTATAAAAAATCATATAAAAACTCACATTTCGAGCCTTGTCGAGCCAAGGACCTACGATCCTTAATCCTTCCCCGAAAGCCCACAGCAACTCAGAGGGAGCAAAACCAAACTCCCTCCCCGCCACGTCAATCGCTTCTGTAGCCCAAGGACCACCGTCATCAAAAGAGACGAAGATGGAAAGCACAAAGCCCTGACCTCCGGCCGACAGCTGCACGCAGCCATTAGCCCGACACCCGTTTCTTGCCCACGAACCGACGACCACCACCACTATTGCCATGGCATCCAGGCAAAAGGACGAAAATTCACTCGACATCAACGATCGCTAGCTCGCCGGAGGAGCAACCAAACTGGAGCCATCTAGGAGACGAGAGTCGAACACGACCACAGAACCTGGTGACTACTAACAAGACCCACCCACTAAGCGAAAGCTGACCACCCAACGTAAAAATTGATATATAAGCGTAGAATTTTGAAGAAATTCAATAAAGCAATTTTATCTTTTTTCTTCTTTTATCTTTTTTATCTACCAATATTTACAGTATAATAAAGTAATTTCTGAAAATCTATATACGAATATCGGGAGATGCTACGGTCCGTTACGGAACCATTCCGTCAGGTTTGTAACCGTTAGATCAACTATTCATGACGACTACATGATGATCCAACGATTACAAACCCCGACGAAATAATTCCGTAACAGGACAGTAGCATTTCCCACTAATATCTCAATCACACTACTTGATGCGTGTGGCTGTCGCACCAAATTTAAATGGAAAATCATAGGCATGAAATTGCTTTCATTTTCTTTTTATATTTTCATATATCAAACGACACAATGCACTTTGGATCGCTACGGAAACAGTCTCCTTGTATAATTACAAGGCAAACCCCAACTTGTTGGAAATATACTGGGTATGTTGTTGTTGTTGTATATATATATGTGACCTTTTCATTGGCTTGCTTGGTTGAATAATTAAAGGATATTATATATAAAAAGGTAGGGGTGACAAAAATAATGTATGTGGACCATTTCATGATTCCATTCTTTCATATCTACCCCCAAATTATTGAATATTTATGAGGGACCAAAAAAAAAAAAAAACACATTTTTTCAAATATATTTATGGGAAATGCTACAGTCCCGTTAGAGAACAATTCCGTTGAAATTTGTAACCGTTAAATCATCATGTAATCGTCGTAGATAGTTGGTTACAAACCCAACAGAATGGTTTTGTTACAGACTGTATAATCTCCCTATATTTATATTGGATATATTATATTGTTTGATTTTTAGTTTGCCTTTATTCGAATTTGCATAGACACCCAATTTGCGTTGCACGTCAGCCACTAATTTTATTTAATTAATTAATGGCACCAAAAAAAAAAAAAAAAAAATGCCAGCCTCACATCTGATCTTTTCTTCTATCATTTTTGTATGACAAAAATAACTGTTTTTACCAATTGACTCAAGTGGTAAGTAGCTTGATGTCATTTAAGCAAAGTCTTGAGTTCGAATCTTTGTGAATGCAGAAAAATCTTGTTAGGAGACTCATCCACCACTGCCAGGTGTGCGACCCGGGTTGACCAACAAATTAATCGGAACATAACTCCGAATACCGTTCCTTAACAAAATAGGGAAAAGAAATTGTGATAACTGATAAGTGAAAAGAAACTTAATTTGTTTTTTTTTTCTTCTTTTAAAATAAGATATTTGATGCGCGTTGACCCTTCGATTTACAGAATATTTCCATCACGCCCTCTTTGGAAATTTTTTGTTCTATTTAATTTTTCGGTATTTTTTTTGCGTTAGACGGCCAATAATTAGATAATAATCCTACTCTTTTAATAAATTAATATACTTTTATACTCATATATATATGTATATAATATATAATTGTTAGCAAAATAAGAATTTAATTAAACTTTTTTTCGTCTTTTACCATTTTTGCAATAAACAAGTAAAGCAATTATACCTTTTTTTTTATCTATTTCATTATATAATTGTTAATATTAACTAATCATACGGTCACATTAAACGTTATTACATTCTAATGTATTTTTCGAAATATTTATTTTACATTATTATTATTTTTTAACTCATTAAGCAAGTTCCTTTTACTAAATTAGTTAATTATTTTTTATGGCACAACCAAACCTTTTAAATTTTCGTACACCATTGCTATAATATAAATAATTTTGTTATTGTTTTACCAAATCATAATCAGGTAAGATTGCATCAATATAAAGATCAACATGTATGTTGCATAGCGTATATTTATATCGTTCATTTTTGTTAATGAATTTATAAAAGGTGATATGCTTATTATCTGACTTATAATTGTAAATATTACATAAACATACATATAAAGTATAAAATTATATTTGCATGTGTGTATGTGCCCGGATCAAATACTAGTTTCATACTTCAAAACCCTATATAATATAAAATAAACTAAAAACATAAAATTGAAAATTTCTAATATTTGATAGAGTATAACTGATTTTATTTTTTTTTACTTTGTTTTGTATAAGAAATATTGTTGGAAAGTAAGTTTTTATAGGTGATGAAAAAGCATTACTTACTATTTATCTTCTCTTCTTATATATATTGGTGAACCTTTTGCACAAAAAATTAAAATAAATAATTTAATTTTAAATGTTTTTTTTTTTCAAAATTCTATATAAAATATATTTCTATAAAATTTAGGTAATGTTTAAAAACAAATCTTTGTTGTATGACAATAATTAATTGCATGTGCACTATGCATCAAGCCTGTGTGATTGATGAGTAAGCATACAAGCAATTACTTCTGTCTTTGCACAACCCACTTTTTAGATTTAATATTTTAACACCTAATAAATAAAATTTGAGAAATAAGATTAGTAAAATTTTATATCACAGAAGATTTAATCATTATCTGTCTTTTATCCTCATTATGAATATTTCATTTGTATCTTACTAATTTATTTGTAGACATAATATGATTTTTAATTGCACAAAAATTGTTTATTACTTCATTCGAATGTTGTTCGAAAATATTAACCGTGAGGTAATCATATACATATTAGTATTCGATCTTGTGAACATATATAAATGTAATAAAAAATATAAGCTATGCATGGATATTATACAATGAATATACCAAATTTTATAAAATTGATCATTAATAAAAATGGGCAATATGATAAAATCATAAATTGTTTTATTTATATATAAACAGTAAAATCTTTACAAATTTATGGTATTATGGCCAATTAACTAGTTGATTTTTTTTTTTAAAAAAATATTATTATTATTATTATTATTATTATTATTATTATTATTATTATTATTATTATTATTATTATTATTATTATTATTATTATAGCAGTTGTTTATGCGACTTTGAGAAGTTTGATATATCATTCAAACTAATTATTATTATTATTTTTTTAAATTGCTTAATGAGATGAAAAATGGAAATAAATAATTTAAAGAAACATAGTATAAATTAATCAATTTAGTAATAATTACTATATGGTAGCATCGCCAAACAAAATATTACTACACTTAATTAAAGCAAAATGTAACTAATAGTTTCTACAATTAACTAAAAAAAATAAAAAAATTTGCACATAAAAATCAGATAATAGTCATTAATAATTTAATTGGACCGCCTAAGTTAATATATACACTTAAATATCATTTTCTACAAATAATACGAATAAAATACGAAATTTTACGGTATAAGCATACATTTTTATTTTTATTTCATTGAATTTGTGTGATTTGTTAGAATATCACTTGTGAGTTGTCACACATCGTTCATATATGGAAAATAGACTCACCTTATAAGTCTAATGGGCTATCCCTTATTCCACTAATATGTTTTGGGATGGAACCTCATTTAGGCTTCATATGGGCTTTTCTCGATTATGGTACGCTTCATGTTAGTGGGCTCGCACCCGTTTATTATAAGTGTAAGCAACAATTGATTTTACGGTAAAAGTGCCAAGGAATGAGGAATTACTTTTAATGAGAATTAAAAAGCAAATGAACTTTGTCAAGATATGATTAGAGACTATAAACTAACCAAGGGCCTATGTACATCTCATACACGCTTTCCTACCTCCTACTTATTGCCCCTAGTGCAATTTGTACATAATAAATTCATAACTAACTCACTAATCCCATCTCAATGACCATCTAACCTCATTGATTGATTACAAAAAATGTTGGTGTGAGTTGATCTAATGTTTGAACGATTCTTATTATAAAATGAAACACAACTTTTACTTCAATTTTTGACCAAGAACTTTTGATTTTGCTATTTTAAGATATGACTTTTTTCATTTTTTTATTTTTATTTTTGCAAATTAAAGCACGAATCAAGAAATAAAAATTACGAATTATCCATCTGAAATAAAAAGAACAAATGTAAAGTCGCTACTTGCCACAATTATTCGTTGAAAGTTGCACAAGTTTGGCCAGATTCACGTTCTCCTTAGCCACCTCATCTATCGAGATAAAAAATTTAAACTAGAATTGTAGCTCGAAAGATCGACACAATCGCATGTCCCTAATCTTACAAGATACCGACTTAGATCCTACATCTGATGTCTCAAACTATAGATCACAAGATTTCCATAAAACATATAGGTTCGCTGCTACTTCAGCTCTCACATGCCAGTTTTATTCAAAATGTGATTGTTCGATACAAGCTTGTTATCTAGTATAATATGAGTTTAAATTATCTTTATATATAATGCAAAGCATATTAACCTCGTCAGTCGGGCAACAAGAAGTCTTGAGCACTAAGGTATTCGCATTCCCCTTGTATAAAAAGGGACAATGTACAACGGACATACTAAGCTCTCACATGCCATTTGTTCAAATGTGACAGTTCGATACGAGCTTGTTATCTAGTATAATATGAGTTTAAATTATCTTTTATATAAATAATAAAAACCATATTAATCTCGGCATTCGGGCACCAAGAAGTCTTGGGCACTAAGATATTCGTATTCCCTTATATCAAAAGGGACAAGGTACAACTGACATACTCTTTATGCTTGTAAGAAATTGGGAGAAAAATGGGTGCAGTCCCACTAACATGAAGCGCACCAAAGCGGGAAAAACTCATATGAAGCCCAAGTGGAGTTCCATCTCAAAACCATTTAGTGGAAAGAGGAGTAGCTCATTGGACTTATAAGGTGGGTCTATTTTCCATGTATGAACGATGTGTGATAACTCACAAGTGATATTCTAACAATGCTTTCTAAATTTTTAGATACACTCATCATTTTCTTCCCCTTTTCGATCACTGACTTGAGCATCGAAGTGCTTATGTCGTGAGCTCCTTCTGATCCTCGTTTATCTGGTTATCAACTGTGCTCGAGCGGTCGAAGGTCTTCAGTCGTCGGTCCAAGCAGATCCAGGTTCCAACACATCATCAACCATTATGTTATCATCACATGATTCTTGCATAAATTTAAGAAGATTTTCCATCACCAATTTTCAATAGAACATTTTTTACACAAAAAGAAGCAAAAAACTACTTTAGGCAACCCATGTAATGTAATGGGAAAAATCTTTTTCACCCCAATACAAAGACACATTAAGTTTTTCACACCGTCCAATAAAAAGTTAAGTTTTTCACCTCGTAAAGTGCGAAGGTAAAGCGAAAATTGTCGCATATTCATCGCATAACTGTCGCATATGCGAAGGTTATGCGAAAAACTGTCACATATTCATCGTACAATGCCTTCGCACTTTAACTTTTTTTCACCCCAGAAAGTGCGAAGGGATATGCGAATGCCTTCGCATTTTTAACTTTCGCACAATGTCATCGCGCAATTGTCGCATATTTATCGCACAATATCTTTCGCACTTTCTGAGACTTAGCTTTGTATTGGACGATATGAAAAACTTAACAAGACTTCGAAATAGGGTGGAAATAACTATTTTCACTGATGTAATTAGGTCAAGTCCACGGCACAAAAGTTGCCTTGTAAATTGCACGCCAAGTACAAATGGTATTATAAAAAAAGGTGAGGTCCGATGGCAATTTTTAAAAGTTCTAATCCCCACTAGTTTTCTTTTTCTTTTTTCCACATAAAAATGAAAATAAAATCTATAAACAGCCTTGTCACCAACTCCATCTTCCTCTCGTCGTCTACATTTCTTACACGAGAGGATAGCAAAA